CGCTTGCTGGCACGTACACTGAGACGCCGCTCATTGAAGCTGCGTATTAGCTGGCTCGTGGATTGTAGCCGTGCACTAGCGTTGATTGGGGCTTGGTCCACAGGCTGAGGGTTGTGCGCTGAAGTCGATGCTCGCCAAGTTGCAGCTTTTATGATCCAGTGCTGTGTTCCTACTCAATGTGGTGAATGTTGGACTGTGCTTAGTGCTCATGCTCAGAACGGTAATGCAACACTGTTGACTGAGTTCAGTGTTTCCTGCTCAACGCGGTAGATGCTGGGCTGCAGTTATATTGGACTTCGGCAATGATTGGACTGGGTAATGTCGGACTGCGGCAAACCCTGGACTCTGTTGCTGGACTATGTTCACACTCTGAACAGTGACGGTGGCCAGTGTTCCTACTAGTATCTAGTGACGATCAGGCAACATGCTTCCCATTTGGGACATTGCTGTTTTGCTGCGTGCCCATGCCAAGTATTGGTACTTTCTTGCACTCCCAAGCGTAAACTTGTTGTTTTAGTGCGCGCCCAAGCCTGGCAAAGTTGTCTTCTTTATTAACATGTGACCTGAACTTGCTTGGCTGGTCACACACGCACCGGGTAGCAGTGCCTCAGCCCTAAGTGAAGGCTGAGTGGTGCACTCAGTTGCCTGATTTATTGATTTGTGACCAGCACTTGCTTGGCTGGTCACACACGCAGTGGGCAGCAGTGCCTCAGCCCTAAGTGAAGGTTGAGTGGTGCACCCAGTTGCCTGATTTATTGATATGCGACCAGCACTTGCTTGGATGGGCACACACGCAGCAGGATGCAGTGCCTCGCCCCCGAAGTGAAGGCTGAGTGATGCACTTAGCTGTCGGGCACAACAGATGTCATTTTATTTGTGGGGTCAGCCCCTGCTCGGCTGATCACACACTCAACGGGCCACAGTACCTCGGCCGTAAGTGAAGGATGAGTGGTGCGCTGAGGTGCTCTATACTGTCTTATTTTGTGACCAGCACTTGCTTGGCTGGCCACACACACTGCGGGTGGCCGTCCTTTGGCTGTAAATGAAGGCCTAGTGGTGCACTTAGCTGCGGGGTGTGGCTCATATTATTTTAATTGTTTGCTTGGCCAGCCACATACTCTGCAGGCGGCCGTGCCTTGGCGCTGAGTGAAGGCTAAGTGAGGTACTCCGCCGCCTGGTACAGCAAGTGATTATTGCGGGCTGCAGCGCCGCAGCCGTAAGTGAAGGCTGAGTGTCGAGTTTTCTAAATAATTGAAAGCTGCTGGTTAGCCCCTGCTGCACTAAGATATTCTCATTTTGATCCTCGCGCGGACGACATTTTCCGTGTGTGGACTGTAATTCAGATATTTGCAGTCTAATCCCCGCACGAAAGGTATTTTCTCGTGTGCACAGTAATTGCAGTCCCTATTGTATTGGTTACTCACCACGCGAACGATTCTCCCCGGACTGACTGATTTCGGGCACGGCCCGGGCTCGAACTTGCCTTTTGAATGCACGCCCATGCACGGTCGTGCTCAATGTGCTATTTGAGTGCGCGCCCATGCGCGCCTATGATCAGTATTGCTATTTGAGTGCGCGCCCATATGTGCCCATGATCAGTATTGCTATTTGAATGCGCGTCCATGCGCGCCTAAGCTTGGAACTGCTATTTTAGTGTGCGCCCATGTGCGTCCATGATCAGTATTGCTATTTGAGTGCGCCTAAGCTTGGAACTGCTATCTAAGTGCGCACCCATGATCAGTATTGCTAATTGAGTGTGCGCCCATGCGCGCCTAAGCTTGGAACTGCTATTTGAGTGCGCGCCCATGTGCGCCCATGATCAGTATTGCTATTTGAGTGCATGCCCATGCGCTCCCAAGCTTGGAACTGCCATTTGAGTGCACGCCCATGTGCACCCAAGCTTGGTATTGCCATTTGAGTGCGCGCCCATGCTTGACATCGCTACTTGAGTGCGCCTATGCGCTCCTATGCTCGGTATTGCCTTTAGAGTGCGCGCCCTGTTGAGATGATGGCCCTAGAGCGTGCGCCCTACTAGTATGATCGAGTTGGACTGAGTGCTTGTTGGGTGGACTCTTGAGATCTGCTGATGGAATGATTTGAAATCCTACTCCCGTTGATTTATTTCCTTGCTGATCAGTTGCTGCGCTAGCATAACCCCGTGCAGATGATATTTTTCCTGCAGAGGGAGCATTTGCAGCTCAGTCCTTGCACAGACGACTTGGCACAGATCAGCCCTAGTACATTCAATATTTATGACTGGTCCCTGTGCATGAGATGTTTTGCTGATCAGTTCTCCTGAGTTGCCGTTCAGCTGGGCCTATTCAAGCGGGCGCTTTCTTTCGAGTTGCCGCTCACCCGGGCCCATTCAGGCGGGCCCTTTCTCTGAGTTGCAGTTTAGTCGGGCCAATTTGGGCGTGCCCTTATATCGAGTTGCTGTTCAGCCAGGCCCCTTCAGGCGGGCCTGTTCCTTGAGATTGCTGCTGTTCAGCCGGGCCCCTTCAGGTGGGCCCATTCCTTGAGATTGTTATTGTTCAGCTGAGCCCACTCAAGCAGGCATGACGAGTACACAGACTGGCTTTCCCTCATGAAGGACGTAGGCAAGCTAGAGGCACACGACCTCTTTCACAGAGCAGGTAGTGTCAAGAAAACCTATGGTCGCAGACGATATGGGGGCAGCAACTGTTTTGCATCACACGACCTGCTGAAGTTCGATGATCAGGCCGGTGCAGATGGTTCTACTCTCGATGACGATCAAGAGCAAGATGCAGATGAAGCGTGTTCTTCAACTTACGAGTCTGAAACCGCGGATGGTGATGAATCAATGAATGCTTTTAAAGGGGCCGAGGAACTCATGAAGAACAACACTAACACCATTCACCTCCCCAAAGGAGCAAGGATTCCACCCAAACCGAAGGATCTTGCCACAAAACCACAGGTAGATCTCCAGATCAGTGAAAGTGAGTGGAAACACAGGATGAAGAAAGGGGTTTGCCTGCATTACACCAAACCGGGACACTCAGTCCAACAGTGTTTGAGATTGCAGCAGGAAACCAGCAAAGGGGGTAAAGATAATGTTAGCACATTCTACGAAGGAGAGGTTGGACAAGTAAGTACATGTCCTTACAAAAGGAGAGGTTGGACAAGTAAGTACATGTCCTTACAAAAGGAGAGGTTGGACAAGTAAGTACATGTCCTTCACTAGACTCTTAACCCCACTCAACAATCCTCTCATGAGACCCCATTTGATGTTGATTTCAAGATTGAGAAATTTTGTATCCTCTACAAGGAGCCTTGGGTGAAGTCGAAAGAGATTGACTTTCATTCTCTCTTGTTGCGCTGGGCTCACATGAAGCAAGAGCGCGCGCAAGGGAAAACAAAGTTGATCTCCTTCAAACTCCGCATTAATGGCCGATACATCCGTGCGCTGGCTGATTGTGGTGCAACCGCTAACTACTCACCTCAGGGCATTCGTAAGGCATGCTTGGGAAGGAAGCAAGCAACTTTGCAAAGTCCTTGTCGGACCCAAGTGGGCAACCAAGAGGTTGTCACATCTACGCATGCAGTCAAAGATGTGCGGACTACCTTTGATGCAGACCGCACAAACATACATGAGCTGAACTTCTATGTCCTTGATAAGTGCCCCTTCGACCAGTTATTGGCTTGGGCTGGTTGCAGGCCCAATGTGAAAGAACCACATGGAAGGACTCACAATTCATGGTCAAAGATGCCATGGGGATCGAGCGTCCAGTCCTTTTGGACGAGCTGTGCGAGTCCCAAGTGACTTCTCTTAATGCAATGAAATTATGCAAGAAGTGGCGCAAGCGCAAAGATGACGAGCAAATGTTTATAGCCTTTGTTAGGCCTGCTCATGTGCCTTTTGCTGTATATAATGGTTTTACTTTGTATGTTGTTTCCACTTCCAATGCAACAACTTCGACCTCTATTGAATCTACTTCTAGTCCAAATGAATCTACTTCCAATCCTGTTGTTTTGGCTGCACCTACGCAGTCCGATATGCTTGCACCAGATTCTGATTCTCCACCTCCAGAGATCCCATCAGAGATCCGCAGTCTTCTCAATTGATTCCTTGAAGTTTTGGCCGAACCACGTGGAGTTCCCGTGCGTCCGGTCCAAAACAAGATCGAGTTGAGAGAAGGCAGCGCTCCTCCAAGTGTCCGTCGAATGGGCTCAGACGAATTGGAGGAGTTGCGAAGCCGAGTCGATGACATGCTTGAAAACGGATGGATAAAGCCGAGTGAATCCAAATTCGGTGCCTCGGTTTTCTTTGTTCCTCAGAAAGGAGGCAAACTACGGATGTGTATTGATTACCGCGGACTGAATAGAATAACAAGAAAGAAATCATACCCACGCATTGATGACTTGCTTGATGCTGCAGGTGGAAAGGTCGTCAGCAAGATCGACCTCAAGTCTGGTTACCACCAGATTGAAGTCGACCCTGCTGACCAGCATAAAACTGCGTTCAAAACTCACGATGGCCTGTACGAATTTAACGTCATGCCCTTCAGTCTCACTAATGCACTAGCCATCTTCCAAAGTCTCATGGACAATGTGTTCCGCAGTCTGATTAATCGATTTGTTGCTGTTTATTTGGGTGACATACTAGTCTTCAGCAAGTCGATGGAGAAGGACATGAGACACCTTGAGGAAGTGTTGCAGATCCTCAAGGATGCGCAGCTTAGGGAAATCTGAGTTTGGGAGGGACAGCGTCATCAACCTTCAACATCTGTTGTCCGCCGCAGACCTAGAGCCCAAGGCGACCAAAGTCGACGTCATCCGCAAATGGCCTCAACCAACAAATGTCCAAGAATTGCGTTATTTTCTTGGTCTCGCATCATACTACCATAAGTTTGTGCCCAAATTTTCTATCATCACCTGTCCGTTGTCCAATTGACAAGCAAGAATATGTCTTACTGGTGCTCCGCATTGCAGATCCCAAATTTACATTCATAGTAACTACAGATGCGAGCTTGTACGGGATCGGCGCAATGCTGCATCAAGATGATGGTGACGACTTCCGTCCGCTTGAATACTACAGCAAACGCATGCCCAGTCACAAGGTAGCTACCTCCACCTACATGAGAGAACTCCCTGCCTTGACAGAGGCACTAAGCCATTGGAAACACTACCTCTTGGGTCGTCATTTCAAAGTGTTATCAGACCACGAGACTTTGAAATGGATCAAGACACAAATTAATCCATCAACTACATTGACTTGCTAGCTGCATGAGATTGATGTGTATGATTTTGAATTCCAGCACAAGAAAGGTTGTTACAATCGTGTTGCGGATGCTTTGTCTCGCCACCAGAACATGACTTGCCTTGTGGGCTCTTACAATCTCCGTAAGAAATTGAAAGAGGAACTAGTTGATCATACTGCCAAGGACCCGAAACTCAGTACCATCCTTGAGCAGATCCAAATGACCCTAGCAGTCAGGCTGATTTCCACGAGTGTGAAGGTTTGCTCTTTCGACGTTACGAAAAGTACGATCGATTGTGTGTACCCAACCATGAGCCTATCTGTACTCACTTCTTGGACTTGGCTCACAGTCGGAGTGGACGCTTCAACTTTCAGAAGACGTACGGAAGCCTATTGCAAAAGTTTATATGGTAGGGAATAGCATGAAAGTTTGTAGCTGAATGTCAAGTTTGTCAACGCATCAAACCATCCCGACGAAAGCCCTACGGGTTGTTGCACCCTCTTCCTATCCCTGATGGCCCTGGTGAGTCTGTGTCCATTGACTTCACGGGCAGGGGAAAGAAGAGCAGGAACGGATATTCGCAAGTAATTGTGATCGTTGACCGTTTTTCAAAATTGTTGAATTTGATTCTAATAGCACCTCATGCCCCAATTGACCTTGAGATCGAGGAGTTTAACAAGAGGTACATTCTGCAGTATGGTCCCTAGACTCTTGTGAGTGACCGAGACACTAGGTTCACAAGTGCAGATTCGAAGGACTTCACTTCCCAGATCTATGACATCAGATTCAAGATGACGTCTGGTCGACATCCCAACGCCAATGGATTGGCCGAGGAGATCAACCGGACTCTGATCCAACTTCTCCGAGCCCTAACTGTGTCTGATCAGAACTCTTGGGATGTGGAATTGTTGATTGTGCAGGGGTTGTACAACAACTCCATATACTCCACCGGGATGACACCTAAATGGTTGCACCTCGGGTGACAAATTTGCAATCCCCTATCCTATCTGTTTCTTGACCCGCCACCTGGCCTAACACCTGGCCAGCCTGGCTACAGTGCTAAGTTTGATCGCTTGCTCAAAATTGTTGTTGCAGCTATGGAAAGGTGACACACAGTGCCATGATTAAACATGCTAACAAGAAGCCCCAGCCTGCACCTTTCACAGCGGGAAGCTACGTCTGAGTCAAAATGTTCGAGTTTTCTAAAGAAGGTATATCACGAAAGCTTCTTCCTTAGTATTACGGTACCTGGAAGGTGCTGAATCAGGTAGGGGATGATTCATTGGGTTCTCCTTCTACAATGGACATGTCGTCTCATCTGCGCACGTACCCAGTCTTTCACGCATCGAAGTTATTTCCACATGTATCGCATGGAACTTTTCTGTATTGAGAATCGATGATCCCTCGTGCAGTCAATGGTGGTCACGGGATTGATAGGATTGTCGAGCATTGTGACGAGGCAGAGACAGAGTGGCGAGGCTGAGGGAGAGAGAGAAGAGGCAGAGACAGAGTGACGAGGCAGAGACAGAGTGGCGAGGCTGAGGGAGAGAGAAGGCAGAGACAGAGTGGCACACACACACACCCTCACTCGACTCAGACATGGACTTGACTCGACACGACAGACGCAGACACGACGTGGCAGAGTCTCAAAGTCGCAAAGTTGCAATCTTGGATTCGGAACACAAAGTCGCGGCAAGTCACAATGTAGCACAAGCACATAGGCCGACAACTGAATGCCCCAACGGGTCTCGAGTCCCTTCTTAAGTACCGGACTCGGGCTCAGTTCGGACGGCCGAGGTGCAGCCTGCCTCATGACTGAATTGAAGGTAGCAGGTCTAAGTGTGGGCGCCAGAATGTCGGATGGCACCAAGTGTCGAAATTCGAAAGTGCCAAAGGAGGGATTTGAAAATGAGCGCCAACTGTAGAGGGCGCCAACAATCAGAATCCGAAGAGCAGGACATCAAAAATAAAATAAAAAAACAAAAATAAAATAGCAGGCTGGCGGGTGGTACCCTACGGACCGGGGATCGAGTGTTGGTTGTGTCCGTAACACTCTCCCCTCCCTCTAGAAGGCAAGGTCCCGGCTGCCAAGAGCCATGAAACAATGCTGAAGTCTGGGAAGGACGTGACGGGGCCGATCACTGGTCAACATGTCAAAAGGAAGAGGAGTATAATGTGGGTGGCCTGGGTCGGGGAGTAAGAGGGAACATGGTTATCCTATCAACGAGCTAAGGGGTTTTGCAGGGTATTTCTACTGATGTGCTAAGGGGGCTGGGAAGCACGGGGAACAGGGTAATCCTACCAACGAGGGGTTTTGCAGGAATCAGGGTAGTTTTACTGATGTGCTGAGGGGGTTGGGAAGCACAGGGAACAGGGTAATCCTACTGATGAACTAGGAGGTGCAGGGCAAAACAGGTTATGTGGTCCTAAAGAAAAAAGGAAATTTGGCTTGTGATGTACGGGTCGGGGATTTAGTGGTACAGGTGGAAAATTATGTGTAGCAGTCCATGTAGATGTCTTGAGAACACGTCTTGAAAAGTGTCGTAGAAATGTCGGTGAGAAAGGAGTCTTCAGCAGGTTTGTGATGTGGACGGTAAGAGCTTAAGCTTGAATGTCCCTGTAGCAGGATGCGTTAGGTACTCGGATCTGGTGCTGAGGTCTGATAGGGATAACAGGTCGCAGACTGATCTTGATGTCCATGTCAGAGGCACTGCTGTAGAACTCTGCGAGTCCAATCTATCAACGAGCTAAGGGGTTTTGCAAGGCTGATGTGCTAAGGGGGCTGGGAAGCACGGGGAACAGGGTAATCCTACCAACGAGGGGTTTTGCAGGAACCAGGGTAGTTCTACTGATGTGCTAAGGGGGTTGGGAAGCACAGGGAACAGGGTAATCCTACTGATGAACTAGGAGGTTCAGGGCAAACCAGGTTATGTGGTCCTAAAAAAAAAAGGAAATTTGGCTTGTGATGTACGGGGTGGGATTGCTGAGGGTCGGGGATTGAGTGGTACAGGTTGAAAATTATGTGTAGCAGTCCGTGTAGATGTCTTGAGAACAGGTCTTGAAAGGTGTCGCAGAAATGTCGGTGGGAAAGTAGTCTTCAGTAGGTTTGTGATGTGGACGGCGAGAGCTTAAGCTTGAATGTCCCTGTAGCAGGATGCGTCAGATACTCGGATCTGCTCTAAGGTCTGATCCGGATAATAGGCGCAGACTGGTCTTGATGTCCCTGTCAGAGGCACTGCTCCAAAAGTCTGCGAGTCCATGGTGCCGGCCAAAGGGAACAACATAGTGGCCAACTAGCTGTCTTATCTCCTCGTACTGAGTTGTAGCATGCCATCGTCCTCGTGCGCTTGCCATTAGATCCATTATCGTCGGCGACACGTAGGGGCCACATAGGGACAAGAGATACAAGGATGTGGCGGAGGATAGATCGGAGAAGGGCGCGAGACGGAGGCAAGAGCGGATCAGACAGAGGGAGGTTAAGGGGCAAGGGCTTTGCTAGGGGTAGGGGTGTGTGTCGGGCAGGAATGCCGAGTTTTGGCGGGGTCAAGGCGGGGTCAAGGCGGGGTCAAGGCGGGGTTTATGCAAGGTAAGGTTGGGGATGTATCTAGGATATAGGGTGAGGGCGATCATAGGCGCGAACAAGTTTCATAGCGTTTTTTAGATTAGAGAGGTTCCCATGTTGATTTTTCATCGGGGTATCCGGTCCATTTGACTTTGTATTCTTTGATAGGTTCCCTATGGTTTGATACTCGTGTAGTTCGTCGTCCTATGATGCATTCTACTACGAATTTCGGGCCTGTGGGAAGCATGATTGGTGGAGGTCGGGGGTAAGGTCGGTCAGCGAATTGAGGTGGGGATTCATGGTACTCTTTCAGGTATTCTATGTGGAAGACAGGGTGGACACGACTCATGTCGGGGGGAGTTGGAGTTTGTAGTTGACGTCGGAGGTTTTTTCAATGATGGGAAAGGGTCCGAGCCATTTGTTCGAGAGTTTCTTTGACAATCCATGTTCGGGTTCAAAGCGTTTGGTGGAGAGTCAGACTTTGTCCCCTACTTTGAATTGCAAGTCTCGTCTGTGTTTGTCAATCTTGTTTGCCTGTTGTTTTTGTATTCTTTCAAGGGCTTCGGTTGCTTCTCTGAGGAGTCGATTCATTGTTGCTACCCATTCATTGAGGGAAGGGCAAGGTGTGCGAGCTGCGAGGAAGGAGGAAGTTGGAGGGCAAGCGAGGATGGTAGCCAAGGTCGAGGTAGAACAGGGACATGTCAGTGGAAGGGGCAGACGGCGTAGGCGATCTCGACGGCTGTGAGCAACTGGTCCCAGTCGTGTTGGTGTGGATGACAATACTTCCGCAGGATTCTTTGGAGGGTATCGTTCATCTTCTCGGTTTGTCGGTCTGGGGGTGGAATGCCATGCTATACTTGAGCGTGGTTCCATATGCTTTGAAGAGGTGTTTCCATAAATGTATGAGGAAGCGGGGATCACGGTCACTGATGATGTTCTCGGGGAGGTCGTGATGGCCTGCGACATGATCGAAAAAGACGGTGGCGACGTCTTTGGCACTGTGCAAAGTCGTGCAAGGAATGAAGTGGGCACGTTTCGTCAAGAGGCCGACAATGACGTAGATGCAATCATGCCCGCGGTCGGTCTTGGCGAAACCGCACACGAAGTCCATGGAGATGGACTGCCACCGATGAGTTGGGATGGGCAATGATTGGAGCTTGGGTTTGGCCCGGTTCGAGGGGTTGANGAAACCGCACACGAAGTCCATGGAGATGGACTGCCACCGATGAGTTGGGATGGGCAATGATTGGAGCTTGGGTTTGGCCCGGTTCGAGGGGTTGACAACTTGACAGGTGGGGCATGAGCGGATGTATGCTTTGAAGTCGGCGAACAGGGAAGCCAGTAGAAGTAGTGGGAGATAGTGTCCATGGAGAAACCGCACACGAAGTCCATGGAGATGGACTGCCACCGATGAGTTGGGATGGGCAATGATTGGAGCTTGGGTTTGGCCCGGTTCGAGG